GTTATTATTATATTTCATTTATTTTTATTTTTTATTTCTAAAGCCCACCATCTATAAATAATACCTTCTTTCTTCCTTCTTTCCAAAATACTCTTTTGTCACCATAATTAAAGCCATAATTATTTAGCCAAATATTGTTTCTCTAAGTGTTGTGTGTTTGCTGCCTATGTTCACATTAGTGAAGCATGTTTGGATGTTCAAGTTGGTATTAATGTGGTTTGGATATTCGTTTTTATAAACCATGGGACTGGACCTAAAATGGGTCAGGTACACAACAGGTGGGGATGTGAAAGGAGCAGTGACATACTTTAAAAACACTCTGTTCCTTACACTTAGGATGAGATGGTTGTGTGGGCACACAAGAAAAGATACCTCACAGGACAAAAATATGGAAAACAAGGAGAGGACAGGAGAGAGGACCACTAAAATACAGAGGCTGGGGAGGATATTGAGATTAAATTATTTATGTTGCTGCAGAGCTTCAGGAGTCTTTTCCAACCTTTGGTGGAAGCTGGTTTCTGTCTTCCTGTCAGTTTTTACTACTCTATTTCATTACCTTTTTTTTTTTACCTCTCTTCCTTTCTCTACAGGATTTGATTAATAAACCAATAAATACAACACATATAATGTCTGTAAAGTTTTTAATCACACAAAAACTGATTTCTAAGCATTTGATCCATATTTTATGTGATAAGAACAGCACATAGTAGTACATACTTAAGGGAAAGGAAATAAGACATAGTTTAAAATAAGAACAAAGAAGCTTAATAAGTTTAAAATCTTCTGAAAGCAGTTTTCAAGTCGAGGCAGTGTCTTGATCTTGACTGCTGTTAACCTCTTGAACACCAGCTTTGTCTTCTGGATTCTCCTGCCTTCCTTCGCCTGTTTGGGTCTGCCAGTCAGCCATTTCGGCAGTCCTCAGGCTGTGACATCCAGAACTCTCTGGGTGACGTTCGCTGCGTGCTGTTGTTGGCCACCCAGCTTGGTTCTACCATTTCTTCTGGACACAGACTGAACTCTAAAACCAGATTAGTGACTCACACACTCGTAATCGCCCTGCATCAGATTTACGTGGTGGCTAACCCAAGTCTCTACAGAGGTTCCGGCCTTTGATGCCTTTGTTGCTGAGTTGCTGATCCAATGTAAGTCAATAAATGTTTTTGTGAACCACACTGATCTGTCTGCTTCAAATTCTAGGTCCTTAGTTCTGAGCCTTGACAGGGAGAAATTCCTATTCTCATTTAGTTAAAAGCTATTCTAAAACTTCACCATTTATGAAAACCTATATCTAATGAAAGATGTAGTAAGTGGCAGCTATAATTAATCTGTATCTGTGAACACCTGTGGGTGTATGTGCCTCTAAGGACGAGACTTCTGATGCGCTTAAACTTCCTTTGAGAGATTGCTGCTTTAGATCAAACTACGGGATCCTTAAACAAACTACTTCCCACGGTCAATTCCAAGGTAGAACATTTTAAATAGCTAATTACTTCAAAATATCAGAAACACAGAATCAAGAATCCAGCTAAAATGGCTTTGGTTAAAACAAATAAGATTCAGTGTAGCAGAAAATTAACCACATTTTCCACCTAAAATATAATAACAGAGAAGCCAAATTGGGGGGAGTGGTTAGGGCATAGAACTTGGAATCCTGAG